AGGGTAATTGGAACATTCGGGTAAATCTCAAATAACAGCCCTTGCTGATGCCATTTCACCTTCCATCCAACTCTGTTATATGCTGCTCTGCATTTATCTGATGATTTGTTCTGTGTTGCAGATATTTGGCTCCTGAATATGCTCAAAGTGGTCAAATTACAGAAAAGGCTGATGTTTATTCCTTCGGGGTGGTCTTGGTGGAACTTGTTACAGGGCGAAAAGCTGTGGACCTTAACCGGCCTAAAGGGCAGCAATGTCTCACTGAATGGGTATGATAAAGCAAGTTGTAAATATACATATGTTTGTTCTAGTCTGTTGCTCGATTTTTATTGCTTATAACTTTTGATCCAACACAGGCACGCCCGTTATTAGAAGAATTTGACATTGATGAACTGATTGACCCCAGACTTGAAAACTTCTATTCCGAACATGAGGTTTACTGCATGCTGCACGCTGCTTCGCTATGTATACGGCGGGATCCTCAATCTAGGCCTCGCATGTCTCAGGTAAAGAGGAACTCCGGAAAAAAGACATCCGAACTTGTTCTAATGACTAGCAGTTACAGCTCACTTTTAGGATTAATAGGCAACTTATCTTGAATCTAAAGACATGTATGTTTGTCCATGTTCTTTAAGGTTCTGCGCATGCTAGAAGGTGACATGATGATGGACACGAATTACATGTCAACGCCCGGGTATGATGTAGGATGCCGGAATGGTCATGATGTGGGATGCCGGAGTGGCCGACTTTGGTCAGAGCAGCAGCAGCAGAAGGAACATTATAGCGGCCCGCTACTAGATGAGGCGATGGAAGGGTACGAGAAGCTCTCTCTTGAGAATTTAAGGCCAGGTTTTAGGGAGAGGGAGAGGGACAGGGCAAGGCGGACTTCATGCGAAAACCATTTGTGAAGCGCTCGCCTTTTAGAACTACCACATATTTAGTGGACTAAAGATGTGATCTCCTTTTTGTAACGTAATCCATAAGTCCTTTGATATTTTGGTTAATGCCACATGCATTTTACTTGTGTATAGTAAAAAGAAGAGAATAGCAAGGTTTTGGAAACTTTTATTGGTGAATCTAATGAAAAATACCACTTCAAGTCTTCAATCGTGTTCCGTTAGCCATAAACAACGGAACCCTATATGGAGATGAGAAGGATAACAGCTACTCACTGAGATGGATTGTTAAAGATTATTGAGAATCAGTGATTTGAGTTACAGATTTCATTTTGATGCCAAATTTGGGTGACTCACTTGAAACAGTTGGCAAATAAGGTCTCAATCAAGCTACTGAGATTTCCACCTCTGAACTTATCATACTTATGACAATTCAATTGCCTTAATTCACTGTGTAAGCTATGTCACAATGCTGATTTGAAAGTAGCTACTATTGTGAGTGGTTTTATCTTAAACAAGGAGACAAGTTGAGAAAAAAAAAAAAAACAGTTGTTCACTACAATTTATATTGTTTATAGGAACTCACATGAATGATAGGTTTCATTAGCCTCCTAAACCAATTATGGTGTTTACGTTCGAAGGCATTTTGAACGTGATCGCCTTTTTGATGACCCTGATGACTTTTGTGAAGAGAATGATATTGACGATGATGAAGAATAGTGCAACTATCCAGATGAAAGATTGATGAACGCATCTAGTTAGACTACTTTTATATTGAACAACTTCTGAATTATTCTATTTGAAGTATGTATCAATTGATTGATGGTATTTCAAGTACATTAATAATGTCGTGCAAATGAATCCTAGCTATTTTGTTTGAAATATTTCAATATTTCAAAACAATTTGTCGTACTAATTAGTATTTGAGATAGGTTTCAATTAAGATATAAATATTTTTTTTGAAACAAAGTATATTTAATAATTGACCTTTTTGCCAAAAAAATTAAATTAATAACACATCCATTATTGTACTAGAAAAAAAAAAAAAAACACATCCATTATTATGCATTTTTTGGTCATTTTACAAAATCACAATGTTTTACATAAAAATTTACCAAACATTATAACAATGCTTGTTTTTGCTAAAAGCACCTTTACAACTATAGTTTACCAAACATGTACTTTATTTTACAACTGCTTATTCTCAAATAACAACATGAGCAGTTTTTTTTTTTTTTTTCAAATCACAATAATACCAAACTAACTCTTAGAATTTTGGACAAAATGTTGGTTGTAAGTCAATTCAGATGAGAAGTTAACTAAGGTGCGAAGTTGGTCGTACCAAGTTTTACAATTAGTAGTGGCCGTTGTGGCTTGTGGGTTCAGTGAGATGAGTTAACTACTTAACACAAGTGGTGGATTAATTTTGTGACGAAGATCTTTTTCTTCAACTTATTGAGTTCCGAGTTTAAACTTTTTCCACTTTATTTAATATAAATTAGTGTAGAATATCGCTTGTATTAAACAAATATTAACTCTTCAAATTTTGGTGACGTGGTCCTCACTCGTTCGTCATGAAGAAAAGGATGGAGCCGCCGGGGGTGAGGTCCAAATTTATGGCCTAAATTAAAATGCAAGCCCATCCCATCTTTTAATCAACATATATGAAGGGTAAATTACACTTTACTTCTCAAATTTGGTGCAATTAGAATTTCATGCCTCACATGTAAAACATTTGATAGTAGCATATTTATGCAACTTTGTTAGCTTGTTTCTTTGCATTTAGTGAGTTAGTTTTTGTTTATTATAGTGATTTAAGCTATTTTTGTGTGTTTGTAGGTCCAATTGGCAAAGGTGACAAGAAAGAGCAATTTGGAGCAATTTGGAGTAGTTTTGGACTTGGAATGGATAGCATACATATGAAGCATAATGGATGGACGTTTTTGAAGTTTAAAGAGGCTAGGTATGTGCTAAAGAGATGGAAAAATTAATTCAAGACATAGAAGATAAGGAATCAACTAAAATGAAGGAACATTATCTTAACCAACCTTATCTTATCCAACATTATCCAAACTAACCTTATCTTATCTTATCCTACTTTATTTCCAGCTGCAAGGGGGACTCCTTTTCATATTAAACACCTCTTATCTGATTTTTAGGAGTCCTAAAACAATGCTAACAACTAATCCTTTTCCTCCACAAACAATGTCGTGTATCTACCCTATAAATACAACCTTTGCCGCAAAATTGAGGGGGGAGAGCTTTAGAGAGAAATTCAGAGATAAAAATATTAAGAGTGTCGCAGCTTTGCAAGGAAGGAGGAGGAGAAGCTTGGAGCCATGCCTGCCATTTAAGACCTTTGGATTGCTGGAACGTTTCTAGGTGTATTTTATCCTTAGTTTTAGTTCAATATTTAATTTTAATTGTCTTTGTTTAATTGCAAACATGTGGAACTAATTTCGTTTTAGTTAGAGGTGAATTCAAAGCTGAACATATATGTGATATGAATTGATTACATCCAGTTATTGTTTCATAAATCGTGAATGCAATTTACTTATATATTTGATTGATAACTTATTCTTGTGTGTTGATTAAGGAGACCTACTTAGTTTGCATGCAGGAATGCTAAAATATAAGGGAGTTTCACCTAATAGTTATGAACTTATATTTACAAGTAGTGGAGGTTGCTAGTCACGATCGCATTAAATAAATTCCTGACAGGAGTATCATGTAGTTCATAGTTACGAATGCTTTGTCAATGCTTATGATTTTCATAGAACTTAATGATCTTTGATATGTATCTCTATTATACAGTTCATGTAAGGAACTTGATAAGAATAATTTGGTTGTGTCGCTGAGTCTAATTCAATGAATTTAGGAAAATCTAATGGTTAATTTGTCCAGTTCACGGTTAACTTGGAGCATTGTCATTCATGGTTTAGAGTTCGTCCAAATCACCCTTGAGTTCTTGTTTCGAGTCAATTTAACTTAGTTTGTGTGTTTTGAATCAGTTTAGCTTATTTTGAGTAGTTTAAGTTTAGTTTTCTATTTTTGAGTCTAGTTTAGTGATTTAAAGTTTAATTTGTGTAGATTAACATTCCTCCTAATCCCTGGCCTAAAACGATCCTTACTTACACATACTACAACTATCAAGAAGAAGGTTTAAGATTGTGTGTTATTTTATATCACATCAACATTATAATCTTATACACAAACTTTAAGATTTCATTGCAATATTATGCGGTGTAGTGAAATGACGACGTATTATTTTTTTACAGAACCGCCTAGTCTGCCGCCAAGGCCGCCTAGCCCACCCAATCGGCCGCCTAGACACCGCCTAATACCCTTGATGATTTATAGAATGTTTTTGGAAGAATCATGGTGACGGTCCACTGCCCAACACCTAGGCATCCGCCTAGAACGCTTTTTAGAACACTAGTTAATCGTAGTATTGAATGACTTATCTCCCTCGTTATTAAAAAGATTTATTTATTTTTTACACAACCAAGTCCTTTAAATTTTCTTTGATTTATTAAAGGACTTGGTTGTGTAAAAAAATAACAACTCAGAATCTTGTTCAGTTTAAAAAGATTCTGAGTTGTTATTATAAACTAAACGAGATTCTGAGTTGATATTTAAATTTTTTTGATTTATTAAATTTTCTTTGATTTGTTAGTATAAAGAAAAAAATGTTCGGAAATCACTTCTCCAAATGAAGTATCCAAAGCTAAAGTCAATTTTAACTCGGGACCCAAATTTTCTAAACCGAACTTATTTTTATTTACTTTGAAATCTCTGTTTTATCCCACATATAAAATGGATTTAGAAAGAAAAAAAGGAAAACAAAAAAGAAACCCAACCAAAGTCACCTCAGACATCCACCCTACGCTCCGCAAACCCAAACACACTCAATGGTCTTCACCCCTTCCCCAACCACCCAGCAACGCCACTTGCACCTCCCCTACCACCCACAATCAAAGATCCAAATCTCCTCCCACCATTATATAGAAGCAACACTTCGTTCACTAGGATGCTTGCCTGCCAAGAAGAACAAGCAGATTGCCGAACAATGTATGCAAAATTGACATAACTAGGACTCTATCGAAAACCAACGAGAAAACAAATTAACATAAAGCCTTTCCCCCGCCAAATACAATCTATCAAGAAAAATAAATAAGTATACTGCATGAATGCACGAAACGGCTTGTGTTGACGTACCGTTTACCTCCTCAGGCTCCTCTCAAATTAACTGCTCAGAAGAATCTGTTGAGAATCCCAACTTTACCATGACTTCTAAACGTTCCATATCATTCAGGTAAAGATAACCAACCTACATAATATGAAGCGTCAGTTTATGTTAATAACTCAGAATCTCGTTCAGTTTATAATAACAACTCAGAATCTCGTTCAGTTTATAATAACAACTCAGAATCTCGTTCAGTTTATGTTAACAACTCAGAATCTAGTTTAGTTTATAATAACAACTCAGAATCTCGTTCAGTTTATGTTAACAACTCAGAATCTCGTTCAGTTTATGTTAACAACTCAGAATCCCGTTCAGTTTATGTTAGCAACTCAAAATCTCGTTCAGTTTATGTTAACAACTCAGAATGTCATTCAATTTATGTTACCAACTCATAATCTCGTTTACTGGGTAGTGAATCATAAGTTACCTAGAGGATTGTAATTTCAAATAAGCATGTAGAATATCAACAAGTATGGTGCCATCAAGAACATGCTTGATTATTATGAAAAAACGAACTTGCATGCGTGTGCGTGTGTTTCTTTTTTGGATTCAGATGAGAGTGAACCAAAATATGTTCAAGGAAACCACAAGGTCCAAGGACACTGACCAATGCTTCCAGTGAAGATGCTCTGTTATAAACTGCTGAACCAGCACGCTTTAGTTTTAGCTGAACCGGTATTCTTTCCCCACCGGAGAGCATTCCTGAAGCAAAAATTATCAAATGACACGAGTCAACAAAACCACGACTCCACTTGAAACATATATATATATGACTCCGGAATCAGAAGATCCCCTCCACATAATGAAAGAATGATGCAGATCGGGATCCTGCAAGTTATACTTGATCCGTTTCTGGAGCAGTGCATCCTGAAATGCAAAGACAAAATTTTAGTAGTTCCTTAGAAAAGTGTGTTCAACTCCAATCTAAGAAAAGAGCAGTTGAGCATGTTCAACTCCGCAGAAACATCTATGCCACTCAAGTTATGACGACTGGTTCCTCCAGGGTCGGCTCATCGGCTAGTTCATCAGCATGAGCGAGGACAAGTAAAAATACCATTTGACAAGGCAGAACCAGATTACACAGACACACGAGCACGTAGGAAACAAAATCGGGAACAAAAATGCACAACAATTTTCCACCATAAAAAAAAAAAAAAAAAAATACTAGATTCATCACAAACCAACAAATTGGGTGCAGCAGCAGAGTGGCGGATACAATCAACAACTTCGATCACCAAAACCCATAAATTACAAAAAAAGAAAAAGAAAAAGAAAACAGAGAATCGAATTGGAGTATTTAAGCAGAGGAAGATGCAGGCGTAGTCAACAACGCAGAGTTCTCTTCGTCCACCGGCAAGTCATCCATCTTCCTCAACGCCGCGTGCGCAATCACCAACACAACCCCAATCAGCAGCGCCACCAGAATATTCACCGTCGCGTGGGTTAAGAACAGCAGCACGATCGTCACCACCGCCAGCACGATCAAAACGACGCGGTCGTCTACCGTTTTTCCGAACAGCAACAGCGGCTCGTCGCGGAGGAAGTAGAGGAAGAGCCAGGCGGCCATCATGACGACGAAGACGATGAGCGAGATCGGGTGCCAGAGCAGGCTGAGGAACAGGATCAGGAGCACCACGATGGCATAGTTCATCCGGAAGTAGGCGACGTTCGATCGGACCCGCCCGAAGGCGTCGGAGAAGGAGGAGGGGAAGTTGAAGGACCGGAAGTTGAACATCAGCTTCCATGGCCGGCGGGCGCCGAGGCCGGCCCTGATGCGGTCCTTGGCGCGTGAGATGTACTCGCCGGAGGGGCCTTGGGAAGACGAGGAGGAGGTCGGGATCGTGCCGTAGGTGGTCATCGGACGGTGGTTTGGGCTTTGACTTTTTGACTGTTGGGAGGGAGTTGAAGGTTGACAGAAGAGCGAAGAAGAAGAGGAAGGCGAAGAGACAGTGGAAATTGGGGAGAGTGAAGGGAATTAAATTATGTGTGAGTGGGGTTTTTATAGGGTGGTGGTGAGGTGCACTGTTTTGATGGTATGTGCATGGCATGATGTGTGTTGTGATTGGTTGATGTTGATTAAAGTTTGGACAACTTTTGTGTTATGTGAATTATTTATGGGCATATGGCCATTATTTCATCTTGTGTTTTGTCTGCGTTTGATTGTTTCTACAATATAGGGGAAGATGCTACTAACCTTTTCAGTCAAAATTTTTTGGGCTATCTTCGCAATTTTTTGGGAACAACAACGATATAGTGATTTCATTGATGAAAATCGAACAGTATAAGAGAACCAAACAATACAAGAGGATGTCATATTAGGTACATAATCTCCAATAACCAATCTTGATATGGAGAGGAATTTGCACAAACTAAATCAATAAATTAACTTCAACATGACACCACCAACAATTACCCTAAACACAAAGAGCAAACAATACAAATCTGATTTTTGAATGCTACAAGATGATCAAAATCGTCTAGTTTCAAATTCATTCATTAAATATTCTTTGCAACAAATCAACTAAATCATAAATTGTTTAACTGTTCAATTAACATTGGATAAGAATTGATCTCAAATTATTTGAGAGGGTGATGCCCTACAAGTGATTCAAACTCTTGGTGGTATTCATACCAGTAGTCCCTAACTAGGATTGGTGGCAGAAGATATTAGAATTGGTTCGGGCAGCTTTATGGATTCTCAAGTTGTCACATCCGCTATTTTGCCAATTTGATGGCCTATAGATTGGCCAAGTTAGCCTTATTTTCCGCTTTTGATGTATGTCGATACGAGGAGCCTCCGGATATAATCTAGATTTCTATTCTCGATGATCGTAAGCTTCGATAATGTCTTCTAATAAACTCACAATCTCTTCACCTAAAAGAAAAAAGTTGAAATTTCATGTTTAATTGAAATAATATTGTTTGTCTTTTATTGAATAACTATTGGATGACTAAGTTGTTGGGACATAAAATATCCTAACCTGTTAGAGCATGCCACATGTATTCTCAGCTCAATGTGATTGTCATGCCCTTGATGGACCATGCAGATATTATCCATACCTTGATGGGCTTACGGGCCTCTATTCTGCAGAACGCCCAAGAAATCCACATTCATCAGCCCTGAAACTCATCTCCCGCCAAACAGCCTAAAAGCGAATAGCCTTGATATACTATTGGCCTGTCAGTTAGTCCCTGTGCTTGACGGGAATTGCTGAAGTGTCCTCCAGATGTATGTTAGGGAGCATCCTCTGCAACGACCTTGTAGAATACTTCCACATTGGTGTTGCATACAAGGTACCGCATCTGTGTTGCCTAGAGATATGCTCAAGAGGTCTGCTCACTAAAGTTTGCACCATCCTAGTAGAAGAACAAAGGTTTGCTTAGCATGGCCTGCAACTCTATTGTTAGGCTGCATACGAAGAGTCTCTCCTATAATTAGCAAGTCAACTAGGAAAATCGATAGTCGCTACTTACTACTCATAACTCTTTTAATTTAGCTTATATCAACCCTTTTCTCTGACTTATGCATTGGAAGTCCTTTGGCGAATACCCTCCATTTTTGTGGGTGTTTGTCAATTAGCTTAATTGTTGAAATTGTTTCGTCCATGGCAAAATTTCCATCCACACATGCCACGCACTTAAAGAACTCATAATTAAGAGTGATGTTTAATGAGAACCTTATAATACTTAAACTATTTCATTTTTAATTTTTCATTGTTTTAAAAAACTAAAAATAGTTACCAAATGAAATTATATTTAAAAGCAAGTCGCCACTTACCATAGTGGACAGCTGGGTTTGAATTTCGTTAGTGATTAATTTAACAAAATTTATTGTTTGTCAAAAAAAAAAAATTAATAACAAAAATTGAAACTGAGATGGTTTTCCTAGAGAAGTGAAAGAGAATACATAGAACTAATTATTCCATACTCTAATCAAGTAATCCAGTATCTACCCTAAACTCAATTATGTTGTGCAAAGCCAAAGAAAGATGTTACTTTCACACGAATAACGTAGGTAGACGACGACATAGGAGGGAAAATAAGCAGGTGCACCGCATTATTATGTGACATCAAACATTCTAAAGTTGCCTTGTACAAAATCTTGGGCCCAATCTTCAACTACTCTTCAAGAAGGGAACGGTTGGAGCATTGTGTCGACAAGACCACACTAAGCTCCGTGGGGACGAGAATGAGAAAGCGACCTATGGGTACCAACGCGGTGGAGGCCTGCCCTCAATGCCACGTGGCTTGCTGGAACCACAGCCAAAAAAGTAGTTGAACCTTTTCCTTTTGGACCAAGGTGCCCCTTTCTACTACTGGAAGCCAGTTGTTCAGACGCGTGGCAGGATTCTATTGGGCGAAATCTGGTGTTTTGGCAGAGTTAGCCAATGATAAGGTGCCACGTCAGAATGTCGAGGATCCTGTAACTTTAAAATTGCCGCATTGGGTAACTTAAACCAGGGCTGTACAGCGAGTGCGGGCCTCGCCTCGCTGATGGTGGAGAAATCTACGTTTCAGGTTGGTTGTCACTGTTATTCTTCCGGATAATGTTACAGAAATTAAAATTTTAAATTAAATTTAAACATTAATTGATTTGTTACTAATAATAAATAAGTACATTGAACGACTCTTAATCAATAACCTAATTATCTACAACTACATTATTTAGTTTGTAAATTCGATTTAAAAATTTAATCTCTCTACATTACCCTATTTTTTCACGCTCGACCAAAAAACATGTTACTTTTTCACGTATAAATATCGGTTAAAACTTTTTAAGTTTTAGCTTTCAGTTTATAGTATGGCATGGACAATGATGGACAAAAGTAGGATGGAAGGAAATTGACTTAAAATTCATTTCAATATGAACCCTTCTTCATTCCTCCTTTACTTCACATGTGTATCTTCTATCTATATAGTACAAATATGAAAACAAAATACACTAAATGCTTATTAAATGAGCCTACAGTCTAAAGACATTACTCATATTCATAGCGGAAACAACTTTATCTACTAAAAGTGTTGCAACCAGTAACACTAGAGTCAATGTAACAAGTAAATTAGAATTGTACTCCAACATTACCTAAGTTGCCTTGTTCGTGGGCATGTCCGAGTAATAGTAGTACGGGAAGGATTGAGGAAGGAAGTTGGGATAGAAAAATTTGAGTCAATAGGATGAAATTAGTTTGAAATGGAGGAGAACAATAAAAAACAGTTGCTAGTTTTGAGGAAAGAAAAATGATTGTCATTCTTTTATATATATTTTTAATGAAAGAACTAAGTCACTTAGTACTACTTATAATAGTCATGATGGGCGAAAGTAGGCCAATAAGGGAAATTTTTGGGTTTCGTTTAGGTAGTTGCCGACCCATGCTCTATGGGTCTGGCTCCGGGGCTAATGGAGATAAATCCCAAACTTCATGTGTCAAATTGATCATCTGCGTAAAAGTTATAGGAGGATATATAATAGTAAGTTTCAATTTCAACAAAACAAAAAGGCCTAATCGGATAAACAGTCATTGTGGTGATAAGATAATCGGAAGATAGCTCTCATGATAAATAAATTAGGATTTAAACTCTCGTGGTAGAGTCCGTTAGCAAATTTAGTCCAAAATTAATTTTTTCATTACTTGACTGTTAAATATAGGGATAAAAATGTATTTTAACGTGTACGCCTTCTTCTTCATCCCTCTGCGTTTCATCTGTTTATATCTTAAAACAACCCCTACCAGAAAACCACATAAAATAAACCATGATCATTAATCTCTCAGCTTCTCCACCCTCCTCTTCTTTCTCTCTCATCAAGTTATCCAATTCCAAATCGCCCATGTGTGATTTTCCATCAAAACCCAAAACCTCTATCTTCTTCCATTTGCTGCTAATTTTCTTCACCAGACCTTGGTTTTCACTGCAAGGATCGATTTTTCATTGAAAATGGCAGGTGCCCACATGGGAAAAGGTTCAAGTTTAAGACTTGTGCGATTCTTGGGTTCGACTCTGGCAACTTTGAAAGTGCTCAGTTGGTTTTGGAGGCAGCTGCAGTGTTAACGGCCATAATTATTGTCCATGAGAGCGGTCACTTCGTTGCAGCTTATCTCCAAGGCATTCATGTAAGCAAATGGAAGAAGATGGAGGTTTTGGGTGGTGGTTTTTGGGTTTTGATGGAAAATCAGAGATGGGTGATTTGGAATTGGATAACTTGATGAGAGAGAAAGAAGAGGAGGGTGGAGAAGTTGAGAGATTAATGATCATGGTTTATTTTCTGTGGTTTTCTGGTAGGGGTTGTTTTAAGATATAAATAGATGAAATACAGAGGGAGGAAGAAGAAGGCGTACAAGTTAAAATACATTTTTATCCTTGTATTTAACAGACAAGTAACGGAAAAATCAATTTTGGACCAAATTTGCTAACGGACTCTACCACAAGGGTTTAAATCCTAATTTTTTTACCACAAAAGCTATCTTCTGATTACCTTATCACCACGAGGAATGTTTATCCGATTAGGCCAAACAAAAATACCAAAAGGAAAAAACAAAGGATCTAAACTCGAAATACTAATATTAATTGCATTTATTGATTATATTATTGACCACGATCGACTCTTAAAAAAAATGAGATTTCATTTTAGTCGCATTTCTTGCTGATCCTATTATTTGTTTAGATGTGATTTGGTTACTTCTCGCTTTAGAGACAAATGTTAACATAAATTTTTTAATATACAATGATTATTTTACATTAATTAAGGGGCGTGAAATTGGACAAAGCTACACAATGTACTAGTCATAATAATTTGACATCGAATTCGGTATCCATTGATATTGAACTCAAGAGACACCCCTACCACCATTTACAAATAGGAAAGAACATCACTAGATCGTAACGCTAAGTATCACATAATAAACCATATTGTAATTGAATGAATTGCTTTATTATTTGAAAAGTAAAGAAGTTTCGTGTTTTCCATGTTTTGCTATCTCCGTATTTTT